AGCCGGCACACGGGGAGCGGAGGGGCGGGAACTAGAACTCACCTGTGCATGCTCGTCTGTACTTGGCAAGCTTGCGTATGTACTTGTGATTAAATGCCTGGGAGTCCTCATCTCCAACATTTCCAGTGATGTCATTACTACGGCATGTTGGTGCTTCCCATTTTGAGCATGTGACAATCCTATGAGAAGCTGAGGAAAGATTTTATCAACCCCGTTCTCGTGCTCCCTATTAATTAGATATTATTTTTATAAATGAATATCAAGTAAAGTAATTGCTATACTTAAAAAGGAATTAAAGTGAGTAGTATATTAAACAGTACTTTAAAATTATTCCTTTGGTGGCGTGCATCTTAAGGTAGGGTTTAAGTTAAAAAATAAAATATTACACATTACAAATTGCTAAGCTATTATTTATATCAAGGGCAATTGCCATTGATAAGCTGAACTTTCTAAGAGATAAAGATGTATAAGGTGTGAATTGTAGCATCAACCTAAGTTTTTGAGAGTTCATTTCCTCCCATATTTATGTGGTTTTTTGATTCAAAAGAATTGTGTTTATCAGCTTATTAATTCACTAAATATTTGCTGAGCTCTTACTGTATTCTGTTCTCAATGTTTTAGTTTATTAAGAGAACTAAAATTCAGTTCCTGTTTCTTAATTTGGATCGTGAATCGCTCTGAGAGTTTCGCGAGCATGCTCTCTTTTTGGCCCTGCCTATGGAGATTCTTATTTAGTAGGCATAGGATGGGACCTAGGAGAGTGTCTAATTTTAAAAGCTCCACAAATGATTCTGATGGGCAATCCTGGTGGAAAACCATGAAAATCACCTTATGACCAACCTGTTTCATAGTGTTTCTAAGACCGCTGGCACGGAGCGGTATGAGGGCACAATTTTTCTTCCTGATAACTGTCTCCGAAGGGCAGTTCATATCCTGAGAGTTATCTGGCTTCATTTACTAACGTTTGGATTTGAGCTCTGGTACTTGTGGCTCTACTTTTAAACATATTAACTTGGTGTAATTAGTTCTATAATTTGCCTATCTTCTTTGTAAATATTACTGTACCTTTTGGGTTTTGAGCTTCAGGAGTGCCCCTAGCATGGAGTTCCAGAATATGATAAGTAACTACATGCTGTTATCCTTATTCTTTATGATTTTGTAGGTGCTCATTTGAAAAAAGGAAATTTCTGCTCCCTGCCCCACTTCTCTCCCAACAGAGAGATGCTTCATGTTGGTATTAGTGAATAACAGGAATTTGTGATCGCCTTATAAAGTAGAATTTTATTGCTATGAAGCTGACAGAGATACCCCTGTCTTGCCTACAATTCTAAAGTACAGTTTTTGGGGTGATTGATTGTGCCTTATCTGAATAAAGTTACATGACCTCTCCATTTCTTTTCTCAAAGGATTTTGACTTTATAGAAAGGGATGGGAATTAGGTGACCTTGGCTCTGTGTCTACCTCTGCAAAGCACAAGGTTGGATCATTTCCTTAAGTTACCTGTGTGCTGGGTAATTAATCTGTCATGAGACAATAATAAAAAAACCAGCCCAATTCTTGAAGTTTTTAGGAAAATAAAGTGAGGTAGCATGTTAATGCTTTGGTGGGGCACACAGTTTTAAAGTTTGACACTAGTGACGCTAAACTCTAGTTCTCCTCCCCCAGATAATCTGATAGTGGAGGAAGCAGTGCAGGAGCTGAATTCCTTCCTCGCACAAGAGAATATGAGGCTGCAGGAGCTGACAGACCTCCTTCAGGAGAAGCATCACACCATGTCTCAGGAGGTACTTGACCAGACAGGTCTTACTCTAGAAAGCCTGTTTTTATATTGAAGAGCAAGCAGGACAGACTAAAGCAGCCAGCTCGGAGAAGTCGGAATCTGAGCAAAGGTTAAAGGAAGAATATCATTGAGTATTTCTCCTTGATCAGGACTCTGTTTCAACAGACATTTTAGGATTTTAGTTTTAAGCAAATAATACTGTCATATGGGGTTTTGCGAAAGAACACACTAAAACCCCAAATAATGAATTATCCCCAATATAAAAGACCATGTATAGCGTTACTGCGGAATGGTTGGTAGAAATTCACCTGAGGATATGATAGTAGGAACTACTGTGTGGATAATGGCCTAGAAACTTGAGGAATGTAGATTTTCAGTCCAAATTTGGACAGAAATCGTACTATGACCAAACCATGTCAAGATTTGGGATTTGTTTATTTATATAAAATGATTGCGATAAAGTGATGATAGGCCTTACAAGACTCTTCTGACACTCTTGATTATCATTTTGGTTTAGTTCAAAGGCTATCCCAACTCTTATGCTTATTAGTAAGTTAATAGTTACCACTTACTTAGTGCCTAGCACTTAAGGCACTTTATGAATATTATCTCTAATGGGCACAAAAACCCATCTTACTGCTAAGGGTACACATTCAGAGAGGTTGGTGACTGGTCTGAGGGCACACAGCCAGCAGGTGACTGAACTCTGGTTTGGATGTCGGTCTGTTTAACCTCAAATCCTGTGTTCTTCTTTGACCCTTGTTTCCTAAGCTCCAGGGCCAAGGTCCATGCTGGGCTGATTGCGTGAGAATCATCTGGGACGTTCACTAATACGTATGGATTCTCATCAACCTTCAAAGGAGTTAAGAGTATAGCAGTGCTTATAAATATATTAGAGTGTAGTAAAAAAGCAGAATAACTTTTTTGTCATGTTTTAAGACATAAACCAGGCACTGCCAAGATGAAAAAGTTCTTTTTCTTCCAGGCCTCTCCCAAATCTCACTTAGCATTACTAACGTGGAGAGAGGCATTGTTTTGCTCAGCTGAGCTGATGTCCAAGGTGGCGCTTGTTGCTGGCTGTTGATGCTACCTGTCAGCTGGGAGCTCAGCTTAGTTGTTCACTGGAATACCTGCACGTTACCTCTCCCACATGACACTGTCAGGGTAGTTAGACTTCTTACATGGCAGCTGGCTTCTTTCCGAGATTGAGTGTCCCAAGAACATCCATCAGGCAGAACCATCAAGGCCTTTCAGACGTAGCCTCGAAGTTATGAAGCATTATTTCCACAGAATCACTAAAGTTGACCCAGATTCAAGAGGGGACAGTGACTCCACATCTTGATGGGAGGACTATCAAAGAATTTGGGGGCCATATTTTAAAACCAACACAAAATGTATGTATAGATAATTGTGAACATTAACAGCTTTGTGATTAAAGTATTAAACAACATTAGCTGGTGCATAGCTCCAAAATAAACAGAGAACAACAAAGGTTTTTGTTTATAATGTCTGATACCAGAATGTCATGGGGTCAGCTTAAAAAAGAAAATGGAAGTTTTCCTTTGTTCTCTTTGGATTATCATTTGTGGAAATGTGGGAAGGGAAAATTGGGGGTAAAGATAGCTATTTTTTCTGAATATATATTTTAATTTTTGTCTCCTAAAACCTTTGGTAAAATCAAGGATGTTATCTTTTATCTCTTAAAAAACACATTTTCTGATGGGTTTATTTGACTATTAGAGATAATATTCATAAAGTGCCAAAGTGCTAAGCACTAAGTAAATGGTAACTATGAACTGTCTAAGGAAATGGTGCTTCTCAGAGGTGGAAAAATTGTTGAATCTTAGGTGGTCTTCTCCTTGCATAAGCATTCTTTAGACTTCTATGGTTTTCATAATTGCAGAACTGTTAAAAGAACCTGTAATTTCATTTTTATACTCTTGCATTGGGAAGAAGGTATTGATGTAGGCATTTTTTTCTAACTTGGTTTTTTGTCTTTTTTTGTTTTTTTTTTGCTATATTCTTCTGAATGCTTGTCTTTGGGATGCAGTTCTCCAAGTTGCAGGGTAAAGTGGAGACAGCTGAGTCACGAGTGTCTGTCCTGGAGTCCATGATTGATGACCTGCAGTGGGATATTGACAAAATTCGAAAGAGGGAACAGCGACTCAACCGACACTTAGCAGAAGTCCTAGAGCGGGCAAGTGCTGTTTTATTCATAGTTTGGAGCTAGAGTCATTTTGCGGAGTCTACTTAGAAAGGATGGACTTGGGTAGCAGTACTTGGGGACAAATGGACTCCTTCAAAAGTACTTTGGTTATCAGACTGAAATCTTAGTGTCTCTCTAAAGAATCTTTGTCTTTTCTGTAGGTAAATTCAAAAGGTTACAAGGTTTATGGAGCGGGGAGCAGTCTCTACGGCGGCACAATCACTATCAATGCTCGGAAGGTAAAATCAATGGGTCGCTCAGGAGACATACTTTGACCTGACATCAGGTGTTGAACTAGGTACCTAGGATTGTGTTCACAAGTGGCAAGGTGGGGTTTCGCTAAAAGAGTGGATCAGTGAAGATGGAAGCTTAGCCATGGGAATGACTTAACAATTCCTGTTCTTTATTCTCATTTGTCTAAGTTTCTGCTTCTCTCCAGTTTGAGGAAATGAATGCAGAGCTTGAGGAGAACAAAGAGTTGGCTCAGAACCGTCACTGTGAGCTGGAGAAACTTCGGCAAGACTTTGAGGAGGTCACTACGCAAAATGAAAAGCTAAAGGTAGGAGGGACGTATCTCTGACGGGGGGTTAAGGGAAATGTTTTGCTGACCAGCTCACATACATACTTGTGAACCCTCATAATTTATGAGGGAAAAGAAAAATGTAAGTTTTGTTAGTCTATCTATTTATTTACTGATGTATTTACTTATATGTTTGTACCCTGCCTTGTTCTGCAAAAGATTGAAAGCAACCTACAAAGATATATAGACTGAATCAAGATGCTGTAACTTAGGAATTGTTGAGAAAAATGAGGAGTAGGGTAAACTAGGGTGAGGATCTAAAGTGAATTTTAAAAATGGGGCTTGTCTGTACACGCGCGCACACGCATATGCACATGCACTGTAGCAGGATAGGCCATTCACGTGTCAGTAATTGCCAGATGGGGGCCACAGAATTTGGCTCTGCAGTTTCTAGCTGCCAAAACAGAGGAAAGAAACATAGTCACTGATCCTGGTTTTCAAACCTGCGCTTTAGAATAGTCCCTCCCCAGGTTCTTAGTGGGGGAAGAAAGTAGATTCTGCAAGTATTCCATCCCTCTTTCAACCACAGCCACCTGTCTTTTGTAATTTGATTTATTTCTAGGTAAATATATAAATAAAGATGTTTGAACTGAAAAAACAAAACAAAAACAAAAACCTGAGTTAAATCAACTGAAGTGTTTGGGTAATTAAACAGTTGCTTAGGAGAAGCATAACTATTTTTGATGTAATGTCAAAAGTATTTTTCTCTGTGACTGTTAATAAAGAGAATAAGTTAGTGACGGGGATCCTCAACTATGTTTCTAAAATAAGCATCCTGACAAATTTCATAGTGCTCATCTCTGTCCCTAGGCCTGACAAACTTCATAGGGCTCTCCTAGATCCTTGGGTCTAGGTTGACATAACGTAAAACACCTAGCAACTAAAACAATTCTTGGGTGGAAAAATACAGGTGTTAGGGACCACTTCTTGGATGATCTAATTTAATTTGGGATCGATTTTTACATAACTAGAGGAATAGGTAGATCTACTTCATAATCTTCATGCAGCTTTTCTCAATTGCACAGGACATCAGTGAGCGTAAGATTTTATTTCCTGTCTAGCGTCTAGGGTACAGACGCTAGATTCTGCTTCTGACTTCTCTTCGGGCCTCCTAAGGTGGAACTGCGGAGCGCAGTGGAGGAAGTGGTGAAGGAGACCCCGGAATATCGCTGCATGCAGTCCCAGTTCTCTGTCCTGTACAACGAGAGCCTACAGTTGAAGGCGCATTTGGATGAGGCTCGGACCCTGCTTCATGGCACCAGGGGAACCCACCAGCGCCAGGTTGAGCTCATTGAGGTAACAGCCTGGCTTTATCTTGTATTAAGCTTTCCTGCCTCATACGTTTTATAGTTGTATTCTCTCATGTGTTAATCTCTTCTTCATTCAGCAAACATTTATAGAACGGCTGTAGGTCTTGACTCTGGTAGATGGTGGGCACCCTGCCGTCAAGGATCATACAGTCTAGGGGGGAACTAATATCCACTAGGATGCTGTGTGGTACAGTAGAGGCATACCCCAAAGGTGCAGAGAGAAAGGGACAGAGCATCTTACTTGACTGTGTAACCTTCCTGGGCCCACTTTTCAAAGTGAAGTATGAATCGTAAGGATAAATACAAGTTTACTGGTAGATAGAAACAGGACCAGGACATTCCCGACAGTGAGAATGACAGATATAAAAACAGGTTAGTATGGCTGGAGCCTTATGTGCATGGGGGAGGATAGTGGGTAGAAGCTGCTTACAAGCCATTGTAGCATATAATGCATATGTTATGATTTTTTTTAAGGCAAATCTTCTATTCAGATGTTCACTTCTGTATCTTCTGTAGTCCTTAAGTTAATGTTTATAATAGTTGGCCTTTTGCTATATGTCTGCCAAATGAATTGAATTTATCTTACTTTACATATGTTTATATGCTTGCTGTTTTATTGTCTAGTTCTCCAACTAAATTGTAACATTCTCAGAGTTAGGAGCCATTTTGTTTATTTATTTCGTATCCTGCTGATTATCAAATGAGTGTTTTGTAGCTGTTTGGTGCTCATTAACTATTGATTGCATTAGGAATTTTCAGAGTAATCCCTCTTGATAGTTTTTTTTTTTTCTTAGCTCCTTACAGATCATATTTAGGAAACATGTAATAGAATATGATGGTATTTCCACGTTTTAATAAGAATTTTTGATTGGCTCCTTTTTCTGTGTGTAGCGCGATGAAGTCAGCCTTCATAAGAAGCTGAGGACCGAAGTCATCCAGCTGGAAGATACACTGGCCCAGGTCCGCAAGGAATATGAAATGCTGAGGATCGAGTTTGAGCAGACGCTTGCTGCCAATGAACAAGCAGGTACACTTATCCTTGCTGCTTCTTGCAGTTTGCCTGCTGCCCATGCCTGTCTTGGATGACACAGCATGTTCCCAGGATTTGTTAGTACTAGCTGGAGCTCGAAGTCCTAAAGAACCTTACATCAAATCCTGTATAATTCATTCTGATTCACAGCCCGAGTGTTTTTTACTTCAGTCGGTCAGTTCTGTTTCCATCCTCTGAGAAGGACCCTTTCTTTCAGCGGTTCTTCCACTTTCTCAGAGCTCCCTGGTGTGTTCTGTACTCCCCCCGTGCCTTTGCTCTTATCACAGTTGTTGATAACCCGCTGCTGCTGTATTTCAGGCCCCATAAACCGGGAGATGCGCCACCTTATCAGTAGCCTCCAGAATCACAACCACCAGCTGAAAGGGGAGGTCCTGAGGTATAAGCGGAAACTGCGAGAAGCCCAATCTGATCTGAACAAGGTAACCGGGAGGAGCAGAATAAGTATCGCTTGCTACTCAGTGTGTGAACTGTTCTCGAGTGAGGAAAGCAGCATGGCTGCCCTAACTGATACAGTTCTTTCCTTCCTTTGTCCCCGCAGACACGCCTGCGCAGTGGCAGTGCCCTCCTGCAGTCTCAGTCTAGCACTGAGGACCCTAAGGACGAGCCCGTGGAGGTCAAACAAGACCTCGAGGACGTACCCGCCCAGGCCTCTGCATCGAAGGCCTCTCAGGAGGAAGCCAACGAAATGAAGTCCAAGCGAGATGAGGAAGAGCGAGAGCGAGAAAGGAGGGAGAAAGAGAGGGAGCGAGAAAGAGAGCGGGAGAAGGAAAAGGAGAGAGAGCGAGAGAAGCAGAAACTGAAAGAGTCAGAAAAAGAAAGAGATTCTGCAAAGGATAAAGAGAAAGGGAAACATGACGATGGGAGGAAAAAGGAAGCAGAAATTATCAAACAACTGAAGATTGAACTCAAGTAAGAGCAGTGTTTAGAGTAACTTTCTGACTCAAAAACTAAGGTTGGGACATCTTATATGAAATGTTCTGTTGTTGGCCTTGATAATTTATTATTTTGAGTATAACTAAATGCACAGTTAATGTGGTCTCCGTTCTTGATCAAGTGTGCAGCCAAAATGGCCTGCATGGCTGTAGTGTAGTCCTATTCAGTGGTCACGTCTCAGTAAGCCCTGTGCTTGTGGCCTTATTTTTCATGAATCCAAATTAAGGAGAGAGGTCTCACATTGGAAGTGACACTTGTGAGAATTATTGGAATTAACTACTGGCGGATTGCTGGTGTTAATGTAATTTAAATTAAGAGTGTGTAGCACTGTAATTTGAACAATATTGATCTGTTTGCCTGGCAGTTAATTAGTTTGCGTATGTATCAGATCATTTCAAGAGATTTCTTAGGAGGTTTACTCCTACAGGCATTAAAGCATTAAGACAGACCTTTAAGTCAGTAACACAGTGTTGTAACCTCACACATCGCCCCTTCTCTTCCTGTGTAACCAGAATCTTCTCTGGCAGAACGGTTACTTCTTGCCCTGCTCTGGTCATAGCTGAGTCTCAGTGATGTTTGGATTTGAGGGACCACCATGCTCAAAACGTTTGAACTTCTTTGGTATATAAAAGTATAGTTAAGAAGTTTGTTAATTTAGTAAGAGATAAAATTTTAGTCTTCAGCTGATGGTTAATCAATGATCAAACCTAGGATTAGCAGTATACTTAAAACTTTCAATTTTCTCCTTTTCCTCCCTTTCTCTTGATTTCTTTCTTTAAGGCAAATATTTTTCAAGTATGGTATCAGAATCATCTGGGTGACTTATTTAAAAAACATTCCTGGACCCCACCCCAGACCTACTGAGTCTCAGTTTCTACCAGTGGGGCTCCAGAAATTTGCCTATTTAATAAGGGCCTCAGATGTTTACTTTATAGCTTGAGAACTAGGTCTGAAGGGAGAACTGATTGCTTTATACAGCTTACTTTTCTGAGAAGTACTTTCTGAGAAGTCTCTTGATACTCTGGGCAAGTTTTGTCTTTTAAATGTGTGATGTAAAGCTTAGACAGAACTGTTGTAAAATACTGTGCTGAATTTGAAATTCCCTTGCTCTGATGCCCTTTGTTTTCTCATTACGCCATTCCCCTTCCTCTACCACCCTCATCATAGGAAGGTACAGGAGAGCCAAAAGGAGATGAAACTATTGCTAGATATGTACCGCTCTGCCCCAAAGGAACAAAGGGACAAAGTTCAGCTAATGGCAGCTGAGAAGAAGTCGAAGGCAGAGGTAATCTAGTCTGCCATTACCTGTTGTTTGGAATAAAATCTTCATTTGTGGGATTTCCCTTCACACTTCTGAAGGATAGAGTTTCTTTCTTTACCTTTAAAGTTAGTGTTTAAAACTCAGCAACATTTCCTGTCCTTTCAAAGGCCATCTAAAATAGAGATGTCCAAATTCTCTATTAGTTGGTAACATATGTCAGAATATACTTTACTAGGAATAGGAGTAGGCTTTTCAAACTTTTTATCCCCCTTACACCATATAAATCATTGTTATGATTCTCTTTTTCTGATTACTTTTGTCTTAAAATTTGGGGGCCTAGAGAAAAAAAAGGGTGAGAACTATGCTAAAGAAACATACATGTGCATTCCTTAAAAAATATTGCTGATAGAAGCATGTCCTTTTGGAATGGAGTGATGTTAAAACAGATTTGTGATGTAGTGTACCAGTATATCCTTTCATAATTTTGTAAAGGTTCTTTTCATGTTATGAGCCCTCCATCTGTGCACAGTATTAATTGATTTTTGAAATTGTATTATAGCCTTTTGTTTGTGTGATTCCTTTCCTCCTATAGTTGGAAGAGCTAAGGCAAAGACTGAAAGAACTAGAGGATAAGGAGAAAAAAGAGAACAAGAAAATGGCAGATGAGGATGCCTTGAGGAAGATCCGGGCGGTCGAGGAGCAGATAGAATACTTACAGAAGAAGCTGGCCATGGCCAAGCAGGTGAGCACACTTGCTTTAATTAGCTTTTAAAGAAACGTTACTGGATAGGTAAGTTATTGACAGTGAAACTTGCTCTTTCATTCTAGTCTTTTTTAAAAATATTTTTTCTCCTATATATATGTTTGTTTTTACATTGAAGTTTTTCATCTTTTAATTAT